ATATAATGCGGGGAAGATGGGGGTCGAGACCACTAACGCACGCAAGAGGGCTTTGATGTTATTTTTTCTTCTTTTTGGGGGTGGGGGAAGGGCAGGGGGAGAGAGTACGGACATTTCATTTTTCCCTTTTATTTCCTCTCTCTCTCTCAATATGTCTCTCTCTCTCTCTCTCTCCTCTCTCTCTCTCTCCTCTCTCTCTCTCTCTCTCTCTCTCTCTCTCTCTCTCTCTCTCTTCTCTCTCTCTCTCTCTCTTTCTTTCTTCTCTCTCTTCTCTCCCTATCTATCTCTCTATCCATCTATCGATCTATCTATCTATCTATCTTTCTATATCTGTCTCTCTCTCTCGCCCTATTTATCTATCTATCGATCTATCTATCTGTCTATCTTCCTGTCTCTCTCTCTCGTCTCTTTCTATCTATCTATCTATCTGTCTATCTATATATCTTTCTGTCACTCGCTCTCTATCTCTCTCTCTTTCTCTCTGTCTGTCTGTCTGTCTGTCTCTCTCTCTCTCTCTCTCTCTCTCCCTCTCTCTCTCTCTCTCTCTCTCTCTCTCTCTCTCTCTCTCTCTCTCTCTCTCTCTCTCTCTCTCTCTCTCTCACTCACTCACTCACTCTCTCTCTCTCTCTCTCTCTCTCTCTCTCTCTCTCTCTCTCTCTCTCTCTCTCTCTCTCTTTCTCTCTGTGTATGTGTGTGTGTGTGTGTGTGTGTGTGTGTGTGTGTGTGTGTGTGTGTGTGTGTGTGTGTGTGTGTGTGTGTGTGTGTGTGTGTGTGTGTGTGTGTGTGTGTGTGGTGTGTGTGTGTGTGTGTGCGGTTTGCGTGTGTGTGTGAGTGTGTGTGTGTGTGTGTGTGTGTGTGCGTGTGTGTGTGGTTTGCGTGTGTGTGTGTGTGTTGGTGTGTGTGTGGTGTGTGTGTGTGTGTGTGTGTGTGTGTGTGGGTGTGTGTGGTGTGTGTGTGTGTGTGTGCGTGTGTGTGTTGTGTATGGTTTTCATGTGTGTGTGTTTGTTTGTTTGTGCGTGAGTGCGCATAAATAAACAGTATGACCACATTATCTATCCCTTTATATCTATTTATCTATCTATCTATCTATCTCTATCTATCAGTTCTCTCTCTCTCTCTCTCTCTCTCTCTCTCTCTCTCTCTCTCTATCTATCTATCTATCTATCTATCTATCTATCTATCTATCTGTCTGTCTGTCTGTCTGTCTATCTATCTGTCTGTCTCTCTATCTATCTATCTATCTATCTACCTAACTCTCTCTTCTCCTCTCTCTCTCTCTCTCTTCTCCTCCTCTTCTCTCTCTCTCTCTCTCTCTCTCTCTCTCTCTCTCTCTCTCTCTCTCTCTCTCTCTGATAATAATGATGATAATAATAGGAAGAAGAAGAAGAAGAAGAAGGGGGGGAGGAGGAGGAGGAGGATTTAAAGATTTTAAAAAATAGTTTCAACTCCAATTGTTACAATGAATATTCTTTGTTTTGACTTACTGTCTGTTTTATTTTGCTTCCAAATCTCCCCCTGTGTGCAAGGAATGGCCGGGGTTACCATCCACTGGAAGCGCGCAGGACCGTACGCAGGTCAGCAAGATTGCTAGACCAGCATGTTATCATTGGAGGAGGAGGAGGAGGAGAAAGAAAAAAGAAAAGAAGAAAAAGAAAGAAGGAAGAAGAAAAAGAAGAAGAAGACGAAGAAGGAGAATAATGACAAGGAGGAGGAGGAGAAGAAAAGAAGAAAAATAATAATCATAATAATAATACGGAGAAGAAGAAGAAGGCGAATTTGAAGAAGAAAAAAAAAGCAGAAGACGAAGAAGCGAGCCTCAGATCGCCTTTAAATAGACTTCTTATTAAAAAGGCGAATCTTGAGCAAACTCAACGGGCAAGAAATCACTTCTGTAAAATCGCCGAGTGTCAAGCCTTGAATGACATCAAGGGAAGGCCGGCGAAGGGTGAGAGAAAGAAAAAAAAATAGAGAGATAAAGAAAGAAAGAAAAAAGGGTAGAAAGAACATGTTTTAGGGAGTGCGGAAAAAAAAACTGCACAGCGAAACAGGAGGGGAAAAAGTTGATGTTCATCGCCTCAGACAGACCGACCGACTAATTGCCTGAGGTTTTTGGGGGAGGGGGGGGAGAGAAGGGGAGGAAGGAAAGGGAAAGGAGAAGGGGGCGGAGGGGGAGAGAAGGGGAAAGGGGGGAAGAGGCGAAGGGTGAGGGAGGAAGAGCAGGAAGGGAGGGGAGAGGGAAGAGGGAAAAGGAAAGGAGAAGAGGTGAAGGGAAGGAGGTAAGGGGAGGGAAGGAAAAGAAGAAAAGAGAAAGGGAGAAAGGGGAAGGATAGGGAAAAAGGGAGAAGGAAAGGGAGGAAGGAGAAACGGGGAGGGGAGACGGAGGAGGGAGAAATAGCGGGAAGGATCAGGGAGAAATTATGCATTTTGATGTGTGATAACAGGAGTTTGACTGCGTGTATGCGCGCGTGTGTGTGTGTTGTGTGTGTGTGTGTGTGCATGTGTGTATGTGCATAAGCGTGGTGTGTGTCTGTGTTTGAGTGTGTTTGTGCATGTGCATGTGCGTATGTGTTGTGTTTATGCGTGTATGTGTGTGTTTGTGTCTGTTTGTACGTGTGCATGTGTGTGTATGTGCATATGTTTGTGTGTATAGATAGATAGATAGATAGACAGATAGATTTCTCTCTCTCTCTCTCTCTCTCTCTCTCTCTCTCTCTCTCTCTCTCTCTCTCTCTCTCTCTCTCTCTCTCTCTCTCTCTCTCTCTCTCTCTGTCTCTCTCTCTCTCTCTGTCTCTGTGTGTCTGTCTCGTTTCTTTTTTCTTTTCTTTTTTCTTTCTTGCTTTCTCATTTTTCTTTTTCTTTTATATATATTTCTTTCTTTTTTCTTTTGTTCCTTTTTTTTCTTGTTTATATTTTTTCTTTTTCTTTATTTCATCTTTCTTTTTCTTTCTTCTGACTTTCTTATAGTATCTCTTTCATTTTTCTTTTTCTTTCTTTCTTTCTTTCTTTTTTTATAACAAAAATAAAAAGGATTATTCGTTTATTATCTATTCACTTCTTAACCTTCCATTTTCCTTCTTTTTTGGCTGAGCATCAAGGCTGAACACATCATGACATAATTCTCGTGAAAAGAAAAGTTTCTTCAAGCCTCGCTATTGTGTGCGCGTATTTAAGTGTGAGTGTGTGTACGTGTTTATGTGTGTGTGAGTGTGTGTGTGTGTGTGTGTGTGTGTGTGTGTGTGTGCGAGTGTGTGTGTGTGTGTTTACGTGTCCTCTCATTCCCGATTTGTTAGTAAAATCTTGCCCGAACATCAGAATCGGAGGAAAACAGTCACAGATTTAAACGCGTGATTATCTCTCCTCCTCGGGATTTCCTCGCAGTAATCCGAAATATTAAATTCTAATTAGCACTCCTACCCTTTACACATATCAGCCCCTTCTGTCAGCGTTCTTCTACGAGGCTGCAGATAATCTTGCAAGATCTTGAAATTAATGTTAGCGAGCGGGGCGAAGAGATTTGTCAGACAGATACACCGGGAGAGCAGTAAAAGTGATCGATCAAATACATCCTCCGTCCGCGATGGTGCCTCTGCTATCTGGCCTCGGGTGGAAAATTCTATTACCTTGATTAGATGGGATTCGGCGCTAAAAGGGGAACGGAGGAGAGCGCGCTCGCATGGCCCGGGTGCCGAGCGTGCAGTGACGGAATGGGAAGGTGTGCCTCGAGTGCCTGCGTTCGTGTTCTTTCTCCGCCTGTGTTCTTTCTACGGGTGTGTTCTTCTGCGTGGTTGGGAATGATACACAAGGACACTGATATGTATATGAAGTTTTTCTTCTTTCTTGGGCGGAGGGAGAAAAGGAGAGAGAGAGAGAGAGAGGAGAGGGAGAGAGAGAGAAGAGAGAGAGAGAGAGAGAGAGTGCTCAAACTGACGCCTTCGAAATGGATGAATGACACATGCCACTCAGGACTCGGGATTCGAACCAATGACTCCAAGAACATAGAAATTCCTGAAATAAAGCCGGGTTAAAAATTACTTGATCAACCCCTCGGTTTGATGAATGTTTAATTCCGTATTTGCTTATCAATAGATAACGTAAAGACGAAATGTTTTCATCAATGTTCAATCTCTTTGTTCGTTTTATTTTTTACTAACTGTTATGAAATCTTCATATACAAGAAGTACCAAAAGTCATGCGATCACAAATAAAAACAATATATGCGGGTAAACTAAGGATTGGGGAGATGAGCGTCCCTCTTGCTTTGCTCGTAAATGGTTAGCCGATACAAAACAAAAGTCGGGCCAGATGCGCACGTCCCATTACGCTAAAATGGCGGCCGCCGCGCGGAGAGGGACAAAACCCACATCATTTAGCCGGTCATCAATTTCCCTGAGGCGTGACGGCCGCGAGCCCCTCCCCGGAAGGCCCGCAATCTCCTTTCTTATCGCCGCCCCCGCCTTCGCTATCGCTCCGCCAATCGCCGGACGCCACCTGTTATCCGTCCACCAATCACCTATCAGCAAGATGGAAGTGGCTGCAGGCTTCCGCACGTTATCACGAAATTTCCCTTTGTTTCCTTTCGTTCGTTCCGTCTTTTGATTTTTTTTCTATCGAGTTTGAGGAGTGATTTTGTGTCTTTTTTTCAGATTTCTTCCAGGTCTTAAGGCTAGCCTTTTTCCAATCCCAGCGACTGTCCGTTTGGACCTTGCATACCTAATCTGTGCTCTTCTTAGGCCTGGAATTTCGTGGCTCATGATAATAGCTCACTGTAGGGCGTGGTGAGCGGATGAGGGCGGCTTCCAGTGATGATTTTAATGGTGTTAATGTTTTATGCGGGCCACTGATGTTAGTTTTGCCGCGGTTTTCCATATTAATGACCTATAGATTATATTTTTTACAGGTACTTTTGAGGGACATGTTATTTTAAGATGGAGTATGAGTCACGCCCAAGGGTTGACATGTTTCTGTATTCTTGACCTAACACGCGGCTCCCTCTCCCGCAGGTGCCTCGGCCGCTGTCCATGAAGAAGGAGGGCATCCAGACGCGGAACCGGAAGCTCAGCTCCAAGTCGAAGAAGAAGAAGGGCATGCTGGGCTTCCCCGACATGCTGAAGCCTCTGGACAAGGGCGGCTTCGGCGGCTTCGGCACGGGCGGCTCCGGCTTCGGCTCCATGTCCCACTACATGTACGGCGGCCAGATGCACGGCTCGTCCATGGCGGGCGGCTTCATGTCGGCGCCGCCCATGCACGGGATGTCCGCCATGTCGGGCGTGGGGCTCGGCCTTTCGTCCACCTCCCAGATCCAGATCCCTTCCGCGTCCAGCTTAGGTCTGTCGTCGTCTAACAGTATAGTGGGCGCGATGGCCTAGGGACACGCCTCCGCCGACGGCCGCAGCAGTTTGCTAGCCAGTCTCAGCCGCGAGGGCGCCGCATCCTTCACCTCC